GGGAGAAAGAGAGAGAGGAGGGAGAGAGAGAGAGAGAGAGAGAGAGAGAGAGAGAGAGAGAGAGAGAGAGAGAGAGAGAGAGAGAGAGAGAGAGAGAGAGAGAGAGAGAGAGAGAGAGAGAGAGAGAGAGAGAGAGAGAGAGAGAGAGAGAGAGAGAGAGAGAGAGAGAGAGAGAGGAAGGAGGGAGAGAGAGAGAGGAGGGAGAGAGAGAGACAGAGACAGAGACAGAGACAGAGGGTAGGGAGTTACCGCTGCGTTACTATGTAGTACACGTGTCTGCACGTGGAGTGGACACCAGTGTTCGCCACGGGCCGGGCCAGCCCAACGGGCCATGGGCCGGGCTGGGCTACGGGCTGGGCCGGGCCCCCAAATATCATTAGTTAACGGGCTATGGACGGGCCGGGCCAAGAGCTTTGTGCACTATGGGTTTTGCGACTAATGTCAATTTAAGAAAATTTGGAAACTGATGCAAACAAAACCCACTGGGGAAATACAAAAACTAAACCAAATTTAAGCAATGCAAAAGAAAACCTACTTGATATTGAATTTTGGGAATCTTGAGAACTATCCAATATCACATCATGTCACACATAGGAGGGTTTTCATACAAATTCCGCAACCAAAAAGATCAGAGAATCTCTAGCATCATTAGTTTGTTAATAAAAGTTAAAATGTAGTCATCAAAATAACTTACTTAGCACTAAAACTCCAAAAACTAAGAAGCCACTCAACAATGATGGGCTACAGGGCTACATTAAGTTTAACACATATATGGCGATAGTGAGACAATTCCAACACAGTCTTTTTTCCTTCACCGACGGCTTTTTAACGAACAGAACCTTAAAAGGATACTCACAAAACACACTGTACGTAACGAGGAACTCTACAGAGTATTTCGCGATGAAAGCTTCTTTAAATGTCCATAAATTTGTCAAAATAAATCACAACAAACCAGCGCCTTCTCAACAAAACTTGCAATCATGGCGGCGGCGCTATGTTTATGTGACGGCATCTAGGTAGTATACACAACAGTATATCAAATAAATACGTTTTTTAAGTAAGTATCAAGGTGTAAAACAAAATTTAACAAATAAAAAATAAAACCTAAATCACGAAGTCTGAAAACACGAACGAAAAACAAAACAAAAACTTGATCATATATGTTTTATTATACAATTGGTCAGGATCGCTACCTACCGCAGCTGCGACAATCAAGAAGTGTTCGCTCATTTTCGATTGATGATAATGATGCGTAAAAGTCGCAAAAGTACCCAATGACATTTCAAGCTTACCATGTTTTCTGCTTACGCTGCTAGCGATATCCATATCTTGAAAAGAGCCTAACATAAAATAGCAAGGAAAGTAGCAGATAGTTGTCCACAGAGATTCGGTTGACACGTGGGCATGAATTGAGAATAGATTAAATCAGTTTTGCTGATAAATGGATGGATTTTCTCTTCTTTTGGAAGACAGTGCTTAAGTTAGTGTCACCTATTTTGTATGCTTTCTCAGGCTTTTGATATTGCAGCATCTATGGAGTGAATTTAACAGCAAGGTCAATCCCAGACAGATTCATCAATTCCCATAAGTCAAGCTTTTTTCTGCTGGTAAGTGCTGGGAAGCATAGAGTATGTTGCAAATACTTCCTTCAAGTATGCATTAGAGTCACCAATTATGAATGATAATGTTCACACACATCAGCTTGCAAGATAACTTTACTCATAGAATGTAGTTAATATAATCATGTAAACTTTTTATAGGTGTGTAATCATGACCTAATTGACTGAGGTGCTTGCTGTTACTGTTAAAATTTGTGCCATAGGTGCTTGAAATGATTATATTCATTGAAAAGAAGGGAGTCATGATTGCCATGTTAATATTTATGCAGTTTGAATTGTTCTCAAAATAGTGTAATCAATCATGCTTATTATGGCAATAGACTAAGACAATAACTAGATTGCTATTTTTGACGGGCCGGGCCGGGCTGGGCTTGGAATATTTGCCAAGAGCGGGCTACGGGCTGGGCCGGGCTCTGAACCCATGGGCCCGGGCCGGGCTGGGCTGGGGATTTGGGGGCCCGTGGCGAACACTGGTGGACACAGCGCCTATGGTTAATGCATGCCGGCTGGGGTGGTCTAACGGGAACATGGTGCGTGGAATGTTTGATCTGGAGGCACAACTTCACAGGTTTTATCGCTTTCATGTTGGCTGAAAGTATTCTCTTTCGTTTGACTATCCTTTTCGTCTGTCCACTGTCTGGACTGTGTGCTCATCCATCCGTGAATTTAACACCGCTATCCTCTCGGCCGCTCCTCAGCGTCGTTACCACAACGACGGCAGTTTGATCTGCCTCACCGAGTTTACAGACTCAGAGCCGCCGTGAGTGCGTGCCGCTTTCTTTCCGCCATTGCCTGCGCGCTTGCCGGGAGCGTGCGAGCCACACCGCTTGCATCATCGGACGTTATGTCTCGCTCTGCTGAGGTCGCAGAGGCACCCGCCCTGTCTGCTGTGATCCCACATTCATGATGTTGACTCTCTCTGTGTTGTATGACATTACGACCTGGACAGGGCATTGTTTCGAGGGATGTGTGCCAACGCAGGATGTTGCGTGGCGGCCCTGCTCAGCGGGGCGCGGCTAGATAGTGAGCGGACGAGTCGGGTCAGACTGCCAGGGCAGTTACGAGGCCTAGAAGACTGGAACCTAGAGCTCAATATAAACATTGTATACCGTCATTCGCCAAAGGCCTTCCACCAGACCTATGACCGACTCAGCCAGGTTGCCTGCCGTATGCGTCGAATCGCGCTGCTCTTTATCTCCATAGCTATTGCTAAGACGAATGCTTAGAGGAGAGAGGGTTCAGAAATGACAATGGACAATTTCGTGGCATAATCAGAGTTAGAGCCGAGAGCGGAGACCGGGGAGGTCGTCATCTCTCTCCAGGCTTGTGTAACAGCGATGATTTCCCGTCAGGGTGGGTGCCCGTAGGACGGTTAGCCGTCGCGGTGGCTGGACGGGCCTCGACTGAGTGACTGCTCCAGCCGGCCGTGACCGGTGCAGCGAGGGTGAGACCGATTCGCTCTCGGACAAGATGGAGCGAGAGCAGGAGGTGACGCTGCCGGTCGGTCATAATGTGAGAGAGTGTGTGATTTGTGTTGGAGTGCTGTAGGCTCTTGGGCGAACTCTCGCTGGGACGTTCCAGGCATGACTTGTCCAGTGTCCACTGTCCAGTGTCGTCGTTAGTAAATGTCGGCAGGGAGGTAGTTATATTCGATCTCGTACCAGCTGGTTGATGTTTACTGCCTCTCGAATGTCTATCGTGCAGTGAACATGTCTATACCACACCTCGTATTCAAACTGTACATTTCTCTTGTACATCCTGGTGTCAAGATCCGACACTTAAATGAACTGTACCGACCACCACTGCAACAAATAATTGCTGCAGCGAGAGGCGCTTTCTTTCCACTTTGCATTTGAAATACGACCACCTGCACGGCGCAGGGAATGCTTTTCTAGCCACGTTAAACGCTGACTAGTGCGGCATGCCCCACACCTGGCGGCTGAGTGAGTTGTCAGGAGCCGACCGGCAGAGGTGTTTGGAACGAGGTGAAAACTTTGTAACGACCTCGTCAAGTCCTGGGTAATGATCGCTGGTGGTATCGTTTTCTTTAGTGAATGCTCATCCGTCAGCGGTTTAATGGCAATGCATGGGTAGTTCAGATAGATCATGTTGAGTTGCTACGTGCTGATCGGAAACGTGATCTCGGTTGGAGTTTTCGATTAATCCGATTTCACGCGTGGTAGCTAGGGGGAGCGAGGTGGGATTTCACGAGGGAGAAATCTAACGAGTCGAGAGAGTTTTGCTAAGTGCAAGTAACACCACGATTGTGGACATTTATTGAAGCAGTAGCATTGGCCACTTCAAAGTTACCAATGCGCTTCCAATCGCAACACTTCCACCCACCGTAATCGTACTCTTTGTCACCGAACTCCAAGCAGCCGAACGAATTTTATTGTTGTTTACGACACTTGTTGAGCTGTAAATGCAGAAGGGAACAGAAACAAATGTGCCTCTGCTTTTCTGTTTTTCCGTGCTGATTGGGAAATGTCTGGTACCGAAGCATCGTCTGGTAGATGCTCCACGCATCTTGGCGCCAACCTTACATCACCAGCTTGTGTCCGCTGCGCCCAGGGGAGCCTGTTCAGCTGGGAAAGTCCAGATACAGTCGATGTCAATCATCAATATCGAACGGAGTTTGAAACAGCACCCGTCGTCGGCGCTATGAGTCCAGTATAATTTAAGGTTTCACTTATTTAATGCGTGCATCTATTCACCAGCTAAGTAGCTCCTCAGTAATGTTGTATGCATACCGCCCAACTCATCAGTGGCAATATATTGTACTGCCACGCGCGAGTTGCACCACTCCGTTTACCCGGCGGGGTCAGGTCAGCCGTCCCTCCGTCACGGTCGGATGACCCCAGATCTGGGTGCCGAGATTCGCCCGGGGGTCACAGCAACCCGCGTCCGGTCGGGCGGGGCTGGCGGAGGCCGGAGGACCAGCAGCCCTTTCCCTCAGAGGTCGGCCGACACCAAGGCCGGCACCTACCCTCAGGGGGGGGGGGGCGGGAGGCACGACTTGACCCCGGCTCTGGTCGCTGCAATTGGTCCATTGGCCAGCTGCTGGCCGGAGGCTGGCATCAGTCAGGCCTCACTGAACATGAGAAGGATGGCACTGCGTCATTGGCCACGGGTCAGCCCTGCTAATTGCAGTGGGGGTGATACATGTGAGGTCGCCGGGCGGAGCCGGTCCGCCCCGCCTGCGACGGAGGATGCATATTAGGTCACATTAGCGGGTCGTTTTCGGAGAATTGGTGTAGAGTGGAAATTTCCACTTATGGTGGTGATTAAGATTTGCTCGTGGGTTTGCCTGTTGTGCCTAAGAGGGTGCCTAGTGTTAGCTGTGTTTTCAGTTATGGTGACATTGTTTTTTTTCCTTTTCAGGCAGAGGAGGCGAAACAGCGAGCGGAAGAGGCCTTCGAGGAGTGTTCCGACACGGCCAAAAGCGAGGTGGGTCCGGATGTGTGTGATACCGTCTCTTTGTATACCACCACGGCCACCGTGACAGGTATCCGGCCTATTGTTTTCTGGGGCTGAGCCTCCTGTCAACGTCGGGTAACCTTGGAATTTGCGGCTACGATAGGCGTTATCACAAGTGTATTCGCGGCCATTGGGGCGACGTAAGAAAAGAAGAAACGAACTGGCCCCAAGAACTTTAAATTATCAGTCAGCATGCACCTTTTCCTTGATTTGTACATAATTTACCATTATTTGTTACAGAAAATTGCATTTAAAATCTTCCATTTATGATTTTTTCATCGTTTGCACAAAATGTTCTTTTACTAAGCTAGAAACACTAATTAGAAATGGTTCCCGCATCATCAAGAACAATAGGGAAGGCTTGAAGTGAATAAAATAATTTAAACGGTTTTGGAGTCTATGTGAAGGCACTTCTAAAATTGCCTGTAGAAATATTGAAGGCAAAAGTTCAACTTTTTCACAAGACGGATGTCTATAAACCTATTTAACTTGTGACAACTCAGCCGGTATTTCGTCGCCTACAGGCCAGCTTTCCCTAGTGACCGATAGAGGCGCTGCCATCGATGTCCGCCCGTGCCGCCTAACGACTTACTTAGGCCGCTGAACGTTCACCTGTGCTGGGTGTTTTTAACCTTGGAGTCTGCAGCGCCTTCAGCAGATCTTGCTCCTGCCTCATGGGATTTTCAATGCTGTAACATTTTTTTTGTGTTACTTGTCCTTCAACTGCTATCTACTAACAATAGTGTTCTGTTTCAACGAACTTAGGTACTCCGTAACATGCCAGCATTCCTTCTCGTTGGCCCCAGTCATCCGCTGTAGATCTCACCACCGAGAGTCGACCACCCACATCTCCCCTCGTATTTATTGTTAACATTGTCCTGTTTTCACCTATGTAGTCACGATTCACGATCTCTTGACTTACGGGAATACCGTGTGAAACTACTAACTTGAAACGCTTGTTGAAAAAGACGTCGATGTTCGTGCTTTGCTACCCACGTAATTTCTTATTTGTAACATGTGTGCTTGCGTAGGCGTTTGGGTCAGTCAGTGCGCGTTTGGGTCAGTGCGTGCGTGTCAGCGGACACCGCGGTGTCACTATCGTGCTCTCTCGAGTGGAGAGTTGCTGTCGTCATGCCGTGCGCTCGCCGGAGGCCACGGGAAGGCCGACTCTGCTGGCCGGCGGGGAAGGTGTGCTGATAGTAGTCCGCGATTTGGAGGTGTGATGATGTGGTGGCGTCGATGTCACGCGTGGGATTAGAAGCTCGTCATGTCGCGTTTGTGTGTGTGTGTGTGTGTGAGGTGTCTGAGCGAATGTTGTTGACCACGGTGTAAGTTGAGCATAGTTGGACTGCGAATATTGTTGACCAATTTATTTGCATGGAATAAATTTCAACCGAAGGGACATCCTAGGATATTTTTAGGATTTTGGACATCATAAGACATTTGTATTCGTCTTGTTTGCCGACCGTATTTACCAATAAGCGTTCTTTGCTTTCGTTATAGCGTTCATCGTCTGACTAGCGTTTTTGTCTTCTCTCCAGATCCGCGCGCTGCAGCGTCTGCGCTCCACGGATATCCTCTCTGACATGGCGGAGCTGGCGCGATCCCAGATCCACGCGGCGCAGATCCTGCGGGCCGAACTGGGCCGTCACCTGGACACCATTCGTCAGTTCACCGTGCCGGAGCCGGGGCAGCTGAGACGGCGGCGCTAGGGCCGCCCCCCGCCCCCGCCCCCGCCTCCGCCGCCGACAGGGAGGTGGCTTCAGATCTACAGCGGCGGCTGGTCCGCCGGAGTCGAATAATGGGACGGTGCTTATGACAGAGAAGAGAGGTGCCGTGATGGACTCGGGCTGGAGGTGAAAACTAGTGTCTGGGATCAGCATGCTTTTGTACAATAGCTCGTCTGGTGGTTCGTCGTTCATTGCTAGTGTCCCACCATTCGCTGAGTGACAAGGCAGCCTGTGAAGTGAAACCAAACTCAGTAGACGATGACATTCCGGTATAGTGCGGCCAAAGAGCGTTCCCTGACGACTGGACGACTGGCACGGCTCCATCGCTCAGTGAAATGGATTTTCCAATCTGTCATCAAGGCATCCCAACCCGATGGACCAGTGGTGTTTAACTATGCGTCGCTATGAACGCCAATTCGCCTCAGACGCCATGTTACGCCGTTTTCGAGCAGTGACTTCAATAAGCCGCCTTTTGGGGCTACCGCGATACGCTTCTATACGAATCACCGTGTCTTGGGCTGGAGTGGTGTCTTTGCTAGGTACTCAATCGCCGTCGCGCTGAATCTTGCCGGGACTGCGGAGCATTTACGCTTGGAGAAAGAGCAGTGTGATGAAAACGGATGAAGTGGTTCAAACGAAAGGATCACTAACTCCGGTAGTTACTGTGTCAGAAGTGACCACTATATTTATCAAAATAACTATTTTGAACACAGTATTTCGGCGTCGACTTTCGAGGTGTGCATTGGATGGCGTTTCGGTACCGTTGTTGGATCATTTTTCGAGGTTCAGCGTAGCATGACAGATAATATGATCATTCAAGTTTGCTATTTGTGCATTCCATGTAGCCCTTTAGCGTCTATCCGACCTGTCCATGAGATGGCGATGGAGGCGAGCGAATCCCCCACCCTGGTGAGGTAAGCCGTCTCAGGGGAACGTAATTACTCCCCTTGTAGCCTTGTTATCTCGATAAGACTGGAAGTGGCGGTCTGGTAGGCACGTATGCTAAGTCGCTCAGGACTTGAGGAGATTTCGAGGCCGAAAGTTGCCGGTGCTCGAGCGTAGTTGGGCGCTCGTTGTGTTTTGACGTAGACGTCTTGCTGTCTAGAGTTGTGAGAATTTTGCCGCGTGGTAGGACGTTGATTGTTTGCTTGTCATGGTTTGTGATCGATAGGCATGTATGGTTCCTTGTTTAAATTAAGCATAGCGAAAACTTGTGCTGAGCGCAGCAGCGCTAAGCGATTGTCGCGCCGAAGACGATACACGGTGATACTGTCGCTGAGGTGATACCTATCTCGGGTGATACCGTCAGAACTGCATTGCTAAATGATGCGACCCGCGTGAACTTGTTAATGGCATACAGTGGCGGGCATCTTGTGCGCGAGGTCTAGCTAGAATGTCCGTACTTATCCAACGATGGTATTTATATATGTAGTGAGGAGCTGGCTGTAGCTTGTGGTCGCGGTGTCTGTTGTGAAGGTGACTGGTTATACGCACTATCGAGTAAAGCACCACGCCCTTGTTAACTGTTGAGTTGGAGCACCCGCGTAAGTGATAGTGGCACGGTATTTTGTAGATAGCTTGTACTGTCGACTGTTGAATGCTGGCCTTTTGTGCCGTCATTCCGTGATTCTGTCAGGTTTATTTTCGGATTCTCACTGGAGCTTGTGCAGAATGTTTTGGCGACGGATAAGATGTTCACATCGAAGCTTGAGAAGCCTCTTGCGGGTGCTTAGCCTATGAATGTAGATGCTTGCGATGTAACATCGCTCTTGATTAGTTACTTGCTACTGCTTTATTTTGTCTTTCAGTTATACTGTTTCTCTTGATCGCTGTCGGTTGGCCAATGAAACTCTTGCACTCCATATATTGGCCTGTTATTCAGCATTCCTCAATGCTTTTTATTCAACCGGTCTGTCACGAGCGGCGCATCATTTACGCCACGTCTTGCCAGTACTGTCTGATCGCCCGTGCCTCCCCGCCCGGTATCGACCTACCTACGGCCGGTACGTACCCGGTCGAACCTCCCCCTGTACCGGCAGGAAGCCACCCCTGTGTGGTCGATCACGGACCCTCTTTGTTGAATCCGTACCATCGACTTATCAATGCGGCAGCGGTGGCCTAACACAGACCCCAGATTTATCGATGGAATTACGCTCCCCTCCGTTCCGCACTTGGCTTCCTTTGAGCACCGGTCTGGCGAAATCCCTCCTCAGAAAGATGGTATTGTGGTGTGTACATGTATTTACGAACTGTAATAAATATATCTAGTGCGCATTGTCTACTGCCGCTATTTCAGAGCCCAGCGCGGTAGCACACAACTCCCTAGCCAGTGTCAATGTGATTAACTGTGAACTGACAGCTGATAGCCGCAAGACGGAAGGCGCCGAGGTTTACTAGGTAATACAAAAATAAAATATACTGGATAAAATATAGCTGCACTTCTGCAAACATCGTTAGCCTCAAAGCGTCCATTGCCCAAAATAGACCTACCAAAAGCGCTAGTACTGATAGTGTTACCGCTTAACACACAAAGCAAGATCGCATGTTATGCTGCCCGCGGCCATTTCAGTAAATCGATTCTCATCACATTTTCATCAGAACACCACAACTTTCCCGACTCTCATAGAGCCCGATTCGAATACATATTCAGGTCGCTAAGCTACAGAGGGTATAAAATGTCTCTCTTCTGCTGTGCTGACTGCGCCACAGCTGTATTACATGTGAATATAGGTATGTATCTGGCCACCCCGAGCCTGAATGACCACAACAAGCGAACATGGACCAGGCTGCTCACTGCCACAGGGTGAAACACCGCTGCCAGCGGCGCACTGGAGTCGCCAGCCAGGCAGACCGCACAACCATCAACTAGCCCCGCACTGCTGGGCCCGGATGTGGCACAACACAATGGACATACTTTCATAACAAAAGTAGTCTGTGCAAAGCCCGCACAACCACGCAGCTCGTTAGATAAAATACACAGTCGATCCTGCGTTCATCTACATAATTTCTCTAGCTCTGTTACGATACCCGATTCTGCCCAAATGAACACTCCCCGACACTTCGTGCTTCCTAACAAACTGCCGAAACTCCGCTTTGAGCAGACGACACCCCCAAAACACGCCCTATTACCTCGGAACACACGTCAACCACGGTACAAAACATATTCTCTGGTTGCGCAGGGCCGCACAGGAAACCGCTATCACATTGCACATCAGATCATTCAGGCGCGGCGCAGAATACACAGTACACACAATGGGAGCGCGAGCCGCGACAGCTCCGCGCTACAGAGCGGAGCTCATCCCGCGTCAGATCTACGCAGGAAAGATTATGCGACGCTAGGCGGCTTCGTGGAACTCTAGGGTTGACGACCAGATGCGCCACTGGACGTGTAAAGCAGCAATGGCGGCTCAGGCGGGCCACAGACACGATATGTCCCGTTGTGGAGCTTCTGCCACATTCTGTGGCGCAGCTCAATTAAGCCCCGAAAAGTTCAAACACTTCAAGTCACGGGGACGATATGCCTACGTCCTAAAATCACGGTTCCGCGAAATTCTCATGACACGTATTATGGGCAACGGACCTTAACTAGACCCAGATATCACACTAAATTGGATACAAGTCACAAAAAAGCAATCCCCAATTCTCAAAAAAGTTCACAAAGTTAAATACACTTCACAAAACCCGCACGCTATCCCGACTCTCGCCTTTCGTTCATGACTGCGTTGCCTGACGTCGGGCGGCCTCCAGCTCTTTGGACATGATCTGCAGGTCCTTCTGCAGGTGCATGTTCTTGGTGAGCGTCTCCTCCAGCATGCGCTGCATCCGACGCTGCATCTCTCGCTGCTGCTCGTCCAGGGACAGGTGCTTCACAAAGTCCACCAGCTTCTTCACGGGCGTCAGGCTCTCAGCGCCGCCTGACGGGGATTGGAGAAACGAGTTAGATCAACGTACTACACATACCTAATGGATATTGAATGGTGTTTGACAAAGCCTGATAGAAGCCGCTGCCTCTGAGGGGAATATTCAGTCATCAGCTATTTCAGAAGCAGAAAATACTTGACAACGATTTAATGGTTTCTCCTTTCGAACAGTCTTGAGAAAAATGTCATCAGCGTTGAATGCGATAAGTTCTTCCGTCTGACAACGCCCAACTGCCATCATATCCTCCTTCCACCGGTCATGCCCGTTTCCCATCGACAATACTCAATTCCCAGCGATCTCTCGTATAATAGTCATCTACTAGCGAGCATACCATTCTCCCACCTTGCTCCCACCATGTTTCCCTCAACCCATCAATCTCCCTCCTAGTTACTTCCCCATATTCTCCTCGTTCCATACCAGTTATCTATCGTCCCTCTGGTGAGAGGGCCGCGCTAGTCATATCCAAGGCCTATGTAGGCCGTATATACATATAGACATATGACCAAGGCCTATATACGGCCTTGGTCATATCTCTCTCGCTCTCCCGCCCTCCGATTTTCCCGCCTCTCCCCTCACATACCGGTCCTCTGTCATCCCTCTGGCGAGTGGGCCGCTCCGGCCGCACCCCTCTCCCATCTATCTACCACAGACTTCACCCTCTCCTCCGTTCCATACCTGTCCTCTGCCGTCCTTCCGGCGAGTGCACCGCGCCGGCCGGCTGGCGTCCCTCCATACAGTAGAACTGGATCAGCGCCGCCTTGTTGGCCAGGTCGTCGGCCAGCGCTCCGCTGCTCTGTTCCAGGTGGTTCAGCTTCTCCTCCACACGCCACTTCTCCTCCTGAGGGCAAACGGGGAACGGCGGTGGAAGTGGAGTGCGAAGAAAGGGCATCGAGATAGGCAGCGAAAGAAAAAGCAAGTCGACGCGATTGCGCGCATATTGAGTGAATCTTTGAGGTCTACCGATCGATATAACTAGGGTTACAAGGGGTTACGGAAAATCATTAGTTTTGTTCAGAGCTGACAAAGCATACAGCCACGAAAGTTATGAACAACAGCATACGAGAGGGTGGCGAGCAAAACAAACGTTCGCTACCCTCGCCTCTGCCCTCCCACGTCAGTGAACCGGCTTAAACATACTGGCTTAATTGGACCGACAATGTACCGCTACCTCGATCCCTTCCATGATCAGTATCACACCCCCGTGGCGGGACTGACCTGAAGCCGTGTGATGCGCGCCAGCAGACTGACGGTCTCGGTGTCGACCGGCGAGTCGCCACTGCCGTTCACAGAGGGAGGCGCGGCGCCTCCATTCTCCCCACTCATCAGACTCCAGCTGGATACAGACTGGGCGTCCGACTCAGGCGGAGGGGAGAGCTCCGCTGTGGAGAGAGCGAGAGAGAGAGGGGGGGCAGGGAGATCATCAGACTCCAGCTGGATACAGACTGGGCGTCCGACTAACTAGGCGGAGGGGAGAGGTCGGCCGAGGGAGGAAGAGAACAATATACACGTACATATTATAATAGTACCTGAACATTACAGTTATTCATACTGAAAAGCTACATTGTGTGCTCCACTAAAAAGCCCCGGTGCTCTCCATGTCATGAGCCCATCATCGTATGCCATCGTGTCGTATGCCATCATCGTATGTCAGTCCGCACCTGATTTGTCGGCGAACGATGTGTCCTGGAGCGCCTGCTGCAGCCGGTCAGCCCGGCGCCGCTCCTGCGCCAGCTGTCGGCGCAGGTCCTTGGTGATCGAGGCGCCCTTCCGCTCGTGGATCCGCTTCTCGTCCACGCTGTCCTTGACCTGCGGGAGGAGGTCGTGGCGGGTGGTGGTGGTACGGATTCGTTCAGAACTCTGCCATAGGCACATGGACACCAGGGAATAATGCCATCACAGGCAGGATGAAATACTATAAACAAGACACAACAACTGCCTAAATATTGCACAGAACGATGCTGAGTTGACGGCTATCGTAACACCACTGAAACACGTCACAATAAACTTCAACTGACAGGTGTATTCTGTTACGCATCAGCAACCAACAGCTTTTCAGGTGATCTCCACCCACAAATACTGTGACGTGATGGCCCCTTTGACACAAACCATGATGACGGTTGGCAGTTGGCAAACAGCCCGGAAATGACTTACCTCCTGTCTGAGGGTGGCCACCTTCTCCTTGAACTCTGACAGCTGGGCCGAGCTGATCTCCAGCTGGGTGTTCAGGTCCTGACAGAGAGAAAAGGAGAGTGTCACACAGCGCACATACCGATCGATAACTTCACTAATGAAACCTAGCATCGATCGATACTCATCTACCAAATTAACGCACTCAGATAATTTTCATTGAGCACAACACAGGAACCTTGCCACTCCAAAAACTTTTGGTAACCCAAGTTTTGGAAACTCCTCAGGCACCAGCGTTTCTACTTTGGATATGGGTTCAGTCTGCTAAGATCCTAGTTTGTGTTATGGCATGCAACGCTCGTTCGCATTTAGTTATTTGAACAGCACTAATTTCAATCATTAACAATCCATCAGCCTGTAAAGCATTTAAAACACCAAATAGCCCGTTGGTCTCAGCGCGCAGCCCAGTCCCCGTCCTCACCTTCACGGTCTCGGCGTGCGCCTGTTCGGCGGCCTCGGCCTCCTGCCGCAGCTGCTGACGCTCCTGATCCCGCTCTTGCTGCTCCTGAAGGAGCCGGGCGGTGAGCTCCCGCTCCTGATCGGCGGCCCGCTGCTCCTGCTCCTGACGCAGCCGACGCTCGGCCTCCAGTGACTCCTGGACGCGGCCCAGCTCGGCTTCGACGCGGGATAGCTTATCACGGGTCTCCTGAGGGCAGCAAAATGAAGGCGATATGACGAGAAGATCTACTGATGCACTGTGCTAGGGTCAGTCTATCAGATCATCAAAATATGACCAATGGAGAAAATACGCTCAGCAATAAATAATGCGACATGGCCAACTCATCATCAACAGTGTACACCAGGCGTGAGCTCGCATTGCCACCAATAACCCCTGTACTTTTATCAAGCCCTCCCTCATCTAGCTATACCTGCAGTTCGGTGGCTGTGCTGTCAGCCAGCGCCTGCACCTGGCGCCGCGCCTCCTCGGCCGCTCCCAGTGCCTCGCTGTGCTCCACAGTTAGCTGCTGGATGTGAATCGCCATCTCGTCCAGCACCGACTTACGCTTCTGCGCCAGCTGGAACGGGAGAGCGAGGTGAGAACGTCGGCTTATGAGCGGGATTAAAACCAATAGTGCGTATCGTTTTATTGTTTCACCAATATTCTCTCAGATAAGCGCATCACGGCCACACGCACTGATTTAACAATTTAATTGTATCGAAGTCATTAACAACGT